CTGTTGATGGGAGTTTAACGAGATTTTTTCCTAGCTTTTGCCGTAGTTGCTTTAATATCGTTGAACTATTGAAAAAAATAAAATATGCTTTGCAAATTGGCAAATACAGCTACGGAAGTTGTAATATAAAACGTTGAATTGAAATATGGCGTTCTTCTGAGTCGTGACGGTTTTTATCTTCCATTTCTTGAATCCTCTGTTGATACGATGTTAAGAAGATTTTTTCAGGGCTTTGATGTACAGTAGAAATATCATTAGAACGAATCTCGTTATAATCGCGTAAAATGTCAGATTCTGTCAAATCACATCAAATTCCTTTGTTTTTCTTTCCTTTTCCAATAAAATAATATCCCAGAGGCCTCAAAAATTTGACTAACGGAGGCTTTAGAACAAAAGCTGTACAAATTTTTGACTGGGATATTTTTGTCCCAGGAGAGAAATGTACGTACTCTCCAAAAGATCGCAGAGTTGCCCTTTTAAGAAAAGGGTTTTTACAAAAGTCGGTTTTAAGAAGTTGGTCTGAGGAGACAAAAGATCAGATCTACAGAAAAAATAATCAGTAGACAAATTGGCAGGCGCGCGACCTGCCGGAATAAGCGCAAACGTGTTTTCCACAATCTTACGCAATTTTTCACAAGACACTCTCAAACACTTTGAATTCAATATCCGCCGGACTTTTCGCGTTGAGTTTTGCAAATTCAGATTTTGACAAAGAACACTGAAAAATGGTTCTGAAGCTTCGAAGCGGCCTTCTGCAGCACTCTTGTTGTTCTGATGATGATTCTGCTGTCAAGGTCTGTTTTATGATTTTTGGGATCCTTTGTTTCAAGCCCAGGTCTTGTCATCGGCAACGTCGGGAACTTCCGCCGGATCCCGGTAAATTCAGCCCAACTGTTGGGAGGGCTGATTTATCGGGATACAGAAATTCGTAAGAAGTTGGTTTCCCCGAAAATTTGGATTTTTGGGGTGAAAAGGTTTAGGTTGTAAAAGACTCGTGAGAAAGGAATCTGTTCCTCTCTATAAAATTCAACACGGACCATTTGTGTCCTTGTTTTGAGCTTCTGATGGTGGGGGGAGGCACTTGCGCAGCAAGCGTCAAGTTTCGAGTGTTTTAGAGGTAATTGAGTCCCCTCATAAAAGAGGGGAACCCCTGTCATTTTTCCGGGGTTCTATCTCTTTTTGGCGGCTTAACGGCCGCCAGCCGGTCTGAGCCATATGTCTTTTGGTGCGCCAATATTCATTGGCGCCCCCTTTCAGAAATGTAATCCAATATATCCTTCGGGGATGACCAATAAATCGCGTCAAAAGCATGACACGAACTTTGACTTGGGGGTAATTTCTCACAAAAGCCTTCGAGTTAGGGAGGTTTTTAATGCATTATTTCTAAGAGGAATTCAGACTCAAACAAAAAAAAATTGACTTAGGGTGGTTCAACTACGCGAGGTTCAGCTTTTTATTCAATTCAAGAGTATGAAACTTTAACGTGAAATATTGTGTTCTCTTGATTAGAAGCAATTTTATCTTTCATATTCTTGAATCCTCTGTTGATAAGATGTTCGGACGAATTTTTCCGGGGTTTTGATCCTTACGTTGTACAGTAGAATCTCGTTATAAGGCTTATAACGATTTTTTTTTTTTGTGATGAAAATTCCTCTGCAGTTGCTTTAATGCCGTTAAAAAATCTTGAAATTTCGAAGGGGGAAAATTAACATATTGCTTTGCTTTTTTTCCGGTTCTCTCCAGATGGAAGTGAGAATGCGTGGTCGGAGTTGAAAGTGAGCGCGAGTCCTTCTCCCCCATTCATTGGAGGAGAAAAAATACACACTGCCAACACGCAGGCAGGACCAACAACAACAACAACAAAATCAACAACACCACCACCACCACCACCACCATGCTGCACCCGCCGTGGTACACCTGCGTCCTAGGCGGGTTCTTTTTCGTGTTTTGGGCCGGGTATTGGGTCGTGCATTTGCTGGCCCTGGGCTACGCGCGGTGGCGGCTCCACGGGGCTCCCCGCGGCGCCCGTCGCAGTCCCGAAGACCCCTGGCCCGGGGTATCGATACTGAAGCCTCTGGTTGGGGTGGACTGCAACCTCGTGTCCAACCTGGAAACGTTTTTCACCATGAACTATCCCGCGTACGAGCTTTTGTTTTGCGTGGCCGAGGAAACGGACCCGGCATTGGTCGTGTGTCGGGCCCTGTTGGACAAGTACCCCAAGGTCGACGCCAGGATCTTTGTGGGTGGCGAGAAGGTCGGAGCCAACCCGAAAATCAATAACATGGAGCCTGGGTGAGTCATGTGTTGCCAAGTACCACCTTTTTTTTTTTTTTGGAAAATTTTTTAGTGAGGTACCTCATTTTTTTTATCCTCCGAAAGTAACAAACACAAGTCACATATTTAGCTATATTTCTTCTTCTTTTCTGGCCTTGAAGTTAACGAACTTCTCTTTCTCTCTCTGAAAACTCTGGAGAGTGGGCCAGGAAATTAAGTAATTTCCGATGCATTGCGATGAAATTTATAGAAGGAAAAGCATTTTTAAGGGTCAATTTTTTTTTTTAAATCAGGGGGTTTCACATCTCGAATCAAGATATTGTTGAGAAATCGAGTCATTTACTGAAATTTCCTTTTTTTTCGA